ATATGTTTATACATATGTATATGTATGTATGTATATGTTTATAAATATTTATATGTATGTATGTATATGTATATGTATGTATGTATATGCATATACATATGTATATGTATGTATGTATATGTATGTATGTATATGTTTATACATATGTATATGTATGTATGTATATGTATGTATGTATATGTATGTATATATATGTTTATACATATGTATATGTATGTATGTATATGTATGTATATATATGTTTATACATATGTATATGTATGTATGTATATGTTTATAAATATTTATATGTATGTATGTATATGTATATGTATGTATGTATATGCATATACATATGTATATGTATGTATGTATATGTATGTATGTATATGTTTATACATATTTATATGTATGTATGTATATGTATGTATGTATATGTATATACATATGTATATGTATGTATGTATATGTTTATACATATGTATATGTATATACATAGTATATGTGAATATAAAAATAAATCATATGGTGGGTCAATTAACTCTGCCAGTTTTCACCTAAACCGAATGAAGATGCCTCGTAAACCAGGTCAATGCGAGTATCACAGTCACCACTGAAATATTCATTTCGGTCAGGCTTTCTAGCATTGCCTCTCGGCCTATGAAGCAAAACGGCTGTCTGGACACTTTCTGCCAGATCATAGATTTAAGACAGGTGGAAAGCAGAATGAACAATCTCTTCAGGAGACCCTCAAGGATCCTTCAGCTGACAAATGGAGAACGATTCTGAGGGGAACCGATGTCAACGAATTGTGTACATTCAGAGTGAAGAAAACAGGCTAAAGCTACTTCCGTAGTTTACTTGAAGATATGAAGATCAAGATGTTGTGGCCTTTTGTATAGTCGCAGTTTCGTTTCGTTTTATAGAAGTGGGTTGACCTTGTTGTCGCAACTTTGGCCCATAATCATTATCGTCATTATCATCAACATCCACAAAAGAGGTTTGATTCCTAATTGTGAGAATTTTGGCGTCACTTAACCTATTCATAATTCAACCATAATTGCCGATTCGTCGAGAAAATCTAGTCCTCAACCCAATTTCACTTTTCTTGTGGGATTGGATTGTCGATCAAGCTAACTTGTTTTAAATTAGTTTCATCAAATTGGCAGAGGCTTGCGTTCGGTGCTTCAAATTAGTTATGGCAATTTCAAGCATAGGACTGCCTAGCTGGTACATTCCCAAACATACTTCATAAGAGCACAAGGCCATCATATATGAAAAATTGCACAAATTCTCTACGCCAAAAGTACTGGCTTACTGAAAGTATACTTAAATTTATGTAAAGCAGATTCAGAAACTATTAGTAAATCTTTAACAAAGATTCCAGTCATCCTACTTCGCCTAAAGTAGTAAAGGATTGATAGTTGAATCTTCCCACAATCAGATAAATACGTCTTTCATTTCCATCAAAAGTATTTCCATCAAGGTTCGACAGGACTATTATTTCAAACTCGCCTGGGTCTGATCAGCGTCCTTCTGTCATATGATTGAGGAAAGATTTAGCAATTAATCATTTATAATCTTATGTGAACTTATCCGACAGGAACTCATATCACGGATTAAACTATGGTCTATCACATCACTTTACAGACATCCTCAGAGATGCTTCCCTGAATTGACTAAGGAATCTTCTGGTCAAACACTCCTAACTCTTTACAATATATATATATATATATAAATATGTATGTATGTATATGTGAATATAAACATAGAACTTATGGTGGGTCAATTAATTCTGCCAGTTTTCACCTCAACCGAATGAAGATGCCTCGTAAACCGGGTCAATCTGAGCATCACAGTCACCACTAAAATATTCATTTCTGTCATGTTTTCTAGCATTGCCTCTCGGCCTATGAAGCAAAACAGCTGTCTGGACACTTTGCGCCAGATCCTAGACTTAAGACAGGTGGCAACCAGAAAAAAACAATATCTTCAGGAGACCCCTAAGGATCCTTCAGCTGACGAACGGAGAAGATGTTAGTCGACGATTCTGAGAGGAATCGATGTCAACGAATTGTGTACATTCTGATGGAAGAAAACAGGCAAAAGCTACTTCCGTAGTTTAATTGAAGATAGCAAGATCAAGATGTTGTGGCCTCCGGTATGGTCGCAGTCTTCTTTGATTTATAGAAATGAGTTGACCTCGTTATCGTAACTTGGTCTTATTGTCAGGGCGACTTAGTAGAACGCACCTAGTCCGAAGTCGTCTGCCATAGTAGTTATTATGATTCCCAGCACCCACTTCTATAAAAGCTATTTTGTTGCCTTGACTGGGTGCAAAAGACAGAACCAAAATACGATGTTTGAACCTTATTGAAGATGAAGTGAAGACGCTTAGCTTTCCAGTCCTATACTACTTAAATTCAACAACGACAGCATTGCCTTACCTAATGCCGTCACAGAACTGATGAAGGTCATCACCATGCTGAGGTTGATATCACCGCCCAGCAACAGTGTCCATATGTTACTGCCACCACCACCGGGCGAGCAGCCGATTGTCAGTAGGCCAAACCCAAACTCTTTCTGTATGGGCACTAAAGTGGCCAAGGTGAAGGCGATCTGTAGAGAGAAAAAGAAGGAGTTTCACTAAAGACTTTTTAGTGTAAGACCGGATGAGTTGGGATTATAATTGCTTTCGTCAAAACCAGTTGAACATGCTTTAGGCATAACGTTTAGTTACCGTTACATTGAC